TTTCCTTTTTCTAAATCTGCCTTTCTTTTTCTCAGCATCTCTAATATGTCTTTTCCTTCTTTCCTCATGATCAAAATGGAAAAGTCTATTATTTATGAGGTATTGGCAGTGAGTTTGTTTCTTTTATTTTCTCACTGAAACCATGTAACATCTTTGATATGTCTTTTCCATACGATCAAAATGAAGTAGTCCATTATTTCTGAGGTACGTGCAAGGTGTAACATTATGTGCTAACTAAAGGCCTAATGAAAGGACAAGCAGAATTTTAAAAGACCTTAAGAATAAAGTAATGGCTCATGAAAAGCATTTTAGAAAGCAAAATGCTCATTGTAAATAGAAAAGCTTCGAGGCAGAGAAAAAAAAGGGAAACTCTTAAAAGTGAATAATATGAATGTACAAACCTCAAAACTGAAGTAACTTTTCTTCAGCCACAGAGATTTCTCAGTGGCGCAATATGTAGATAAATAACATTTTTAGAAATTACTTGATGGCATGTAAAATGCACACAAGCAAAAAGAAAAAAGCTATTCATGAAATATTGTCTATGGCAGTTAAGGCTAAATATGGATTTAAAGAATTGAGGATTTTCTAGGGATACATACTATCCCCAAATCAGGTTGAGATCATAGACAAAGAACACCTTTGGAAAATTTGTAAACTTAAGGAATCAGCACATATGCTAGGCCACAAAAATCTCCTGAGCCAACCAAGCATAGAAATGAATACAATATGGGAACCAGTAATAAGGAGTGCCAGAGAAAAGCGATAACAACAAAATTGCAATATGAGCACTGGTAAAAAAAATGTCACTGATGACATTAGGTTTATAATACCCAGAAATTCATACACAGATGTGTACACATGGCACAGTGGATAAAGGCGTTAGTTAGATCCAGATCCAAAGAGTGTGAGTTCAATACCTGGAGAACTTGGAGAAAGAAATTAAAGGGAAATAACTGATAACTGACATCCATTAAACATGGCATGTGGAACTAGAACAGTCTGCCCGAGTGAGTGAAATAAAGGGTTCAGTTCAACATTTCAACCACCTGAAGAAGGCTGAAATGTTGTAATAAATATAGCGACAATAGTCCAAATAATGTAAATAGTGTACTTAATACCTCATCTCAGAAATGTAGACAGATACTATCCCCAGATGATGAAAAATGATCAACTTATTCCCCTGCTCTACTTAACTAAGGCAAACTGAGATATATATACATATTTTCTTTGAGCACCTAAAGTCAGTATTCAATCCTAGGATTTCAGATGCTGATTTTTAAGGCTTGTAAGCTTCCTTCACTTAGAATATCCAGACAGAACTTTCTTAAATTCCACACAACCATGTGCCAGATTAAGTACATTTCTCTAATAAGATCACTTTCTTTTCTGAAATACAAAACCCAAGCACCAAGATTCAGCCAAATGGTATGGTCTTAAATAAAATTAGTATAAATGGGTTTGATAAATGGTAATTAAAAAGGTTTGTAATGGTAAACTTTTAAACAATTCTTGTAAAAACCTTTGATTCAAAACAATTTGCATAAGGCTTCACATGCTGAAGCAGGGTTGGAAACATTCCATACAAAAGAGAAATGTAATTCTCTTGGCAATCAGGAAGTATTAAGAAAAAAAAAAAAACCCCAAAAGAAACAATGGATAATAACACCAAAAATTTGGAGAAATTAAGGTGGGGGACGATTTTTTTTCTTTGTTTTTACTTACTCAAGACTGGAAAATGTTTCCACTTGGTAACTAGAAAAAGATTGGAGGGCAGGATAAAGCCAAAATCAAATAAGCAGAGAGTATTTAAAAAGAAAAAAAAAAAAAAAAAAGAAAAAAAAAAAAGAAAAAAAAAAAAAAAAAAAAAAAAAAAAAAAAAAAAAAAAGTAAAAAAAAAAAAAAAAAAAAAAAAAAAAAAGAAAAAAGTAAAAAAAAAAAAAAAAAAAAAAAAAAGAAAAAAAAAAGTGAAAAAAAAAAGAAAAAGTGAAAAAAAAAAAAGTGGAAAAAAAAAAAGTGGAAAAAAAAAAAGTGGAAAAAAAAAAAGTGGAAAAAAAAAAAAAAAAAAAAAAGTGGAAAAAAAAAAAAAGTGGAAAAAAAAAAAAAAAAAAAAAAAAAGTGGAAAAAAAAAAAAAAAAAAAAAAAAAAAAAAAAAAAAAAAAAAAATGGGAAAAAAAAAGTGGGAAAAAAAAAAAAAAAAAAAAAAAAAAAAAAAAAAAGTGGAAAAAAAAAAAAAAAAAAAAAAAAAAAAAAAAAAAAAGGAAAAGATATTTGTGCAAATGGAAATTAATGCATTTTTCTTTTAATATAGATTTAGCTTCAATGACTTAACAATTGCTGAAAATTGGTTGCTCCAAAAATTACATTTCTCTGTGTGCGTTTTATTATATGCCTATCGACAAATAAAGACTGTATTTCTCCGCATTAAGGATATCTTGGCCTCAGAGAGGTTCTCCAATTTCGAATTTGAAAAGGTTGTTAAAAAAAAAAAAAACAAATTAAAATAAACATGTCATTTTAAAGACATATTTTTGGGTGAGAAGTGTAAAATACACACACACACACACAGGTAAAAATCCATAGGTAAACAATCCAAGTGAATCCTAATAATAAAAATATTAAAATTGATCCACAAAGAGAGCTCAATATAGTTATTAGGGCATATATAGATAATTTACATTTAATGAAACTCAATATCCTATATGAATGGCCATTTCACCTCCTAAGGAATAATTCCTTACCGAGGACTGAGGCTTTTCAACACAAAAAACTTTTTTTGTGTTGAAAAGCCTTGGCAAGGAATTTTTTCTTAGGAGGTGGAATGGCCATTTTTATGGGGTATCAAGTTTCATTAAAATATATATATATATATATATGTTAAGAAATGGACGAGGTCCGACAATTTATTTATTAAAGACATTTTTATTTATGTTTAACGTTGTTATTTTATAGATACAAGTATTTAAGCAAATGCTCTGTTTAAGATAAACAGTATTAAATAACATTTACCGGCCTGAATGAAATTTTCTTAAAATATTCGTTTATTAAATTTTCTATGAAAATTTCTGATTCATACTGTTTATCTTAAATCTTCCATTTGCTTAAATACTTGTATCTATAAAATAACAACGTTAAACATAAATAAAATGTCTTTAAAGGCGGTAAATTTGTCGGACCATTTTGCGTCCATTTTTTAACATATGACGTCATTTGTTTACATTCGATACGCCAGAGCAGTTATGAATGTACGAGATTCATGGAAGATTGTAGTTTATAACAGTAAATTCGACCTTGTCTACCATAAGGTTCATGGTGGCCAGTGGTTAAGGCACGTCAGCGATATGACGGTTCCGTATAGGATGCAGGTTCGAATCCTGTCTATGAACGAATATTTTCTATGAAAATTTCTCGGACATTCAGGCCGGTAAATGTTATTTAATACTGTTTATCTTAAACAGAGCATTTGCTTAAATACTTGTATCTATAAAATAACAACGTTAAACATAAATAAAAAATGTCTTTAATATATATATATATATATATATATATATATATATATATATATATATATTTCAATTGCGTTTGTTCAAAAACCATAAAGCCCACATGTGGTTTATACTACAACTATGCTGAGCAGACCTTAGTTACAGTTTCTGGGAAAGTTTGGGCTATCTAGTGTGATCAACAGTGAGGGTTGCTGGCCTTGTTCAGTCATAATAACTTGTGACTTCATGCTAGCATAAACATTGACGTGCCCCTAAGGGTTCCCTCTACCTAGTTTCACTCACAAGGCTTGGGTCAACCTGTGGCATAGTTTTCAGGCAGTTTCCAAAGATGTCACACACTGGGATCCCCTCCTCCAGACCAATAACATCAGGAAGTCTCTTTCCAGACAAATCGACCATGGTCAGATTTGAACCCAGGTCTCACGGTCAGAAAGCAAACATTCTAACCACTTGGCCATGTGCCCACATATGAGAAGGAGACCTGAAGATTACATTCAAGCATGAATCAGACTGTTACCATTTGGCATGGACCTGAGAGTTTACACATGCTCTATTCTAGATATTGAGCACTTTTACCCATAATTATAACATACATTAAAACTATAATTAATAAATATGTGTTTGTGTGTGTGTGTGTGTATGTATATTTGTTTATATAAAACGGCTTCTCACTCTCTGCAAGAGGACTACCACCAAACAGGTTATGGTAGATGGTTTCCCCCATTTATTTATAGTCACTCCTATCTTGTACAACAATATATGGATGCTCAGCATCAGACAACCTTCATCCAATGGCCAAAAAAAAAAAAAAAAAAAAAAAATCAAAATAATTGGAGACTTGCCTGTACAGCACAAGATTCGAGCAATTTGATGAAAAAACTCTGGTAGGATCATTAATGTCCAGATTATATTGCAATGATATGTCTCCTAATTTTATATTAGTACATATACATGTACCTACGATTTGGTGTGACTATAGTTTCGCTGGGTGGTTCCCAGCTCATCGGTCACAGGATGCTTATATCTGGCCATTTCATCTATCTACTATTATATATATATATATATATATATATATATATATATATATATATATATGAATCAGGGTAAACAGCCAGAAAACCCACACAAGTGATTTGATTAAAGTGGTAAAGGCTTGTGTAGAACCTTCCACAATAATTGAATCAATAAGCTGTCAGATCCTCATACGTCGAAACTGACGGGAGAGTCCATTATATATAAATTCATACCAAGAAAGACACTAATACTACTGAAATGCAAGTGGCTACTGGGAGTGGAAGAGAAAACTTTACAAGGAACTGGAAACAATGGATAAACCTTGACTCCTGTTCAAAAGACTGAGAAGGTGTGTGATAAGTGAATATATATATATATATATATATATATATATATATATATACATATATATATATATACACACATTCACAAAGTCATAAATTCTTTTAGAATAAAAAATTTAAGAAGTTAGGAACTCACCAATAACAGATTGAGGCCGAAGTTTTCTGCCATACAAACTTTTCTTCTTCGTGTTCAACTTTGGAGAATACTGCAAGTGTAAAGTCAAATATTTGCAATTATTAATTTGTCTAAAATAACAATTTTTAACAGATTTCAACTGCATGGGGAGAGAGAAAAAAAAAAAGAAGAAATCAAGATGGATACTGGTTACAGACACAAAAATTCTTTATATACATTACTCAAGAAACTTCAAAGTTAAAAAAATAACAGCAAATAATAACAACTGGACGTTTTCATTACAATAATATATTTTACATTTAAATTTTTGTTTTCAATAAAATGTTTAATATTTAAATATCAATTGTTAAATAGTCTTCTATTGTTTATGTCTCTTAATAATATTTCTTTTTTTTCTTATTCTTTCATGCTCAGTAAACTCTTGTGTCTTAGTGGCTCTACTAACCTGCATGTGATGATATGATTAAAAAAGAAATTTTTCTTTGCATTTAAATCACAACCACAAATCCTCTAATCAAATCGACACATTGGGGCACCATAGGTACTGCAACCCATATCAGCATTTGGGTAGGGAAGGGGGCATTTAGCTTAGCCCGTCCTCGTTTTGGGTTGGGGGCATTTAGCTTAGCCCGTCCTCGTTTTGGGGTGGGGGCATTTAACTTAGCCCGTCCTCGTTTTGGGGTGGGGGCATTTAGCTTAGCCCGTCCTCGTTTTGGGGTGGGGGCATTTAGCTTAGCCCGTCCTCGTTTTGGGGTGGGGCATTTAACTTAGCCGTCCTCGTTTTGGGGTGGGGGCATTTAACTTAGCCGTCCCTCGTTTTGGGGTGGGGGCATTTAACTTAGCCGTCCTCGTTTTGGGGTGGGGCATTTAACTTAGCCTGTCCTCGTTTTGGGGTGGGGGCATTTAACTTAGCCTGTCCTCGTTTTTGGGGTGGGGGCATTTAACTTAGCCCGTCCTCGTTTTGGGGTGGGGGCATTTAACAAGCCGTCCTCGTTTTGGGGTGGGGGGGCATTTTAACTTAGCCCGTCCTCGTTTTGGGGGTGGGGGCATTTAACTTAGCCCGTCCTCGTTTTGGGGTGGGGGCATTTAACTTAGCCCGTCCTCGTTTTGGGGTGGGGGCATTTAACTTAGTCTATATCACAGAGTATCCAACAGAAACTAAAATGGTGATGTTCATGAGAACTGTCATTTAGTCATTTATTTTCAATACACAACTATTTCCTATTTTTCCCAAAACAGGACTGTACAGCCAGGCAAATACAATGCAGCAGTGAAAGTTTTAATAAACATTAAGGTCTGGAATTAAGCCTGTCTATATTTTTCTATTATTCCAGGAAACATGATAGTAACCTAAAAATAAAATATTTATCAGAAATATTACTGAATGTCCTGATTGCGACAACATCTCCATAAAGCAATGGTTAACAAGCTATTCTGGCAAATTGTAGCTTGTGAATTATATTCTTTCTATATGCCCCTCTAGCATAGTCTTGTGCTAAAATGAGTAAAATCTAGAAGATATTATTGACCCTCATGTCTCGGTGCCTGCCACAGAATCATTGTTAATAAGCCAGTTTCACAAGCTATTGTTAGTGATTTCAATGCTAAGTGCTTTATGGTTGTGATTTTGTGCTAAACTTAGCAAGTATTTCAAGATGTGCATCTGTCATATTATAAATGGTTAGCAATTTAAATCTCACAACCGACAACAAATGAATTGCAAATTTTAAGATTAGTAAATATTAAAAAATAAAAAGTTTTATATATATATATATATATATATATATATATGCCAAGTGTATCTGCATCTATTTTTGTCTATAATGTGTAACTTTTTGCTTTATTAGAGTTATCTACCTTGCATGGGTGATACAAGGTGGCAGTGTCTTTGTTATTAGAATGGTGGACTATTTCAAGATGTGTACGAAGCTGGAAGGTGAAAAGACCAACTCCGTGAAAGGTTGGTGTACAACAATAATAAGTGAACAACAAAAAAAAATAAAATTTAAAAGACTCACATGGGAAAACCTAATAATAGAAAGGATTTAACAAGATATAAATTTCATGTATGCCATCATATGGATAAACAAATGTTTTCTATAGACACACACGGACAAAGTGGCTGAAAGAAATTGATAAAGACATTAGTTTCAATAAAGGAGAAAAAGAAAGAAGTCATTCATGCATAGAAAACATAATAAAAAGAAAACAAAATTGTAAATATTCGTAAAAGAAAGAAAAAGCACACGAGAAAAGTTGTTTTGCTCAGAAGTGAGATATAAGATTTATTTCTTCACAGGGTAAATGACAGTAAAAATTATTGAATTTTAAATAGAACCTCTGTCCCATTGTAGTTGTTACATTTTCATACACATTTCATACATTAAATGGAGCAAACATTACGGGACAGAAGTAGTACCTGATTGTACTGGACACTCTTTACAGATGTTCTTCATAGAAGAGCTAATATTTTAATGAATAAAAAAAGATTTTTTTAAAGAAAATAACAGCGGCCAGACACTGATTATCTTTATTTTAAATATTTAAAAAAAGTATAAAATTCTAAAAATAAAAAATTCTAAAAAAAAAAAATTCTAAAAATAAAAAAATTCTAAAAATAAAAAAATTCTAAAAATAAAAAATTCTAAAAATAAAAAATTCTAAAAAAATTCTAAAAAAAAAAAAATTCTAAAAATAAAAAATTCTAAAAATAAAAAAATTAAAAATAAAAAAATTCTAAAAATAAAAAAAAATTCTAAAAATAAAAAAAATTCTAAAAATAAAAAAAAATAAAAATAAAAAAAATTCTAAAAATAAAAAAAAATTCTAAAAAAAAAAATTCTAAAAAAAAAATTCTAAAAATAAAAAAAATTTAAAAAATAAAAATAAAAAAAATTCTAAAAATAAAAAAATAAAAATAAAAAATTCTAAAATAAAAAATTCTAAAAAAAAAAAAAAATTCTAAAAATAAAAAATTCTAAAAATAAAAAAATTCTAAAAATAAAAAATTCTAAAAATAAAAAAAATTCTAAAATAAAAAATTCTAAAAATAAAAAAATTCTAAAAATAAAAAATTCTAAAAAATAAAAAATTCTAAAAATAAAAAAATTCTAAAAATAAAAAAAATTTTTAAATTCTAAGAAATTTTAAAAAGTATTCTAAAAATTAAAAAAATGAAATAAAAAAATTATAAAAAATCTAAAAAATTAAAAAAATAGTTATGCTTTGAGACAAATGTTTAATAGATTTGGAAAGTTATAAATCATAGAAAATACTCATTTTCATTTAAAATGACATTAACTACTTGAGTAAGTTACGATTCTATGAAAAACAGTTTAAAATTCTATATGACTTTTTTTTTTTTTTTCGAAAGCAAGTGATGTTATTCATAAGTTAGGCATTTTAAAAGATTAACAGTATCAGGAGTTTGCTTAAAAATTAATATTTAAATTTGAAATTAAAACATTATTATTAAAATACACACATGTAGTTAATGAGTTATCCATAATTAGTAAAGCTTAATTAATACATGTAAGCCTATCTAAAAACCTTGCTTACTGAAAATCCTGATACTTGTTTGCCTCATTTACAAAATACAGAATACTTATATATATATATATATATATGAGGATAATGGATATCGGCTTGGATTGTGGAATCGAAGAACCCAGGTTGAATCCATTACATTCACTTACGTGCTAATACCCTTGGGAAAGGTGTGAATCCTTTTCTTCCTCCAGCTATGGGTAAAATAGCAGGACAGACTGGGTTCTATAGCCTTGGATGGCAACTGGACTAGGAGAAGGACAACAACAATTCAAAACCTGAGCGGGGTTGTTTGGGGACCTTGTGGCACGTAGTGCACCAGGTCTCTGTATTTGGCCCTTCAAAAAGTGTGGATGGTCCTGCACGAAACCTTCACTACTATAATCAAATCTCATGTGCCGGTGTTGGGCTGTCAGTTTCCTGGAAACTGATCTGCTTGACCCTCACACGTCGAACCCAACGGGAGAATCGATTTTATATATATATATATATATATATATATATATATATATATATATATATATATAAAAAAACAGTATATACCCCACTATTTACATTATTCGGACTATTGTCCTCATCTTTGTGGCACAGTGGATAAAGGCATTAGTTAGATCCAGTGACAGGATCCAAAAAGTGTGAGTTCAATACCCGGTTAAGGCGGTGGAGAACTTGGAGAGGGAAATTAACAGGAGATAAATGATAACTGACATCCATTAAACATGGCACGTGGAACTAGAACAGTCTACCGCAGTGAGTGAAATAAAGGGTTCAGTTCGACGTTCCAAACACCTGAAGAAGGTCGGAGTGTACAACAGTTTATGAAAACTGTTTTTCATAAAATCAAATTACTCAAATCCACAAATTGTTCTCTTTTTAAAATTAATGCTTGTATTAATTCCATGCCAGATTTTTAATTCAAAAATTAAAAAAATTGATTGTTGAAACAGATTTTAGGTTCAAAATAGCAAAAATTGGTGTTTAAAAATCACTATTTTGAAATGCACATTTTACAAGAATGATTTTCATTCATGTACAACCCTTTCAAATAAACTTTAGTACCATTTAGCGCTACACTTCCAGCAGTACAAAGAAATACTAAAAAGAAAAAAACCAAAAACTTGTTTCATTATTTGATCAGATTTTGGAAAGAGGGTCAGGCCCAAAACTTTACAGTATCCCTTGGTTTCACATGTGTTACAGAGACGTGTAAGAGGCTCACACACAAGTCAGTGCATATTAGTGAGAGTGAAAGAGAAAAAAAAAGAAAAAGTTTAATAAACACTTTTTTTTTATGTCAGTGACCAACATTTTGAAAACCTAAATGATATTTTATGTCCTTTCTTGAAAATTATATATATATATAATATTATTGTGTGTGTGTGTGTGTGTCATTCGCAGACAGTACTACAGTTCTTCAGTGTAACAACTGAATGACTCAAGCCAAGAGTGAAACCCAACTGATTTGATGTCAGTCAGAGTTTCTACCACTGAGCTCTCTCCATTCGACAGAATGAGGCAGCTAAATCTAGCATAGTATTTTTTTTTCAGATGTAAACAAATGTCAAACAGTCGGAGTGCTCCATTCTTTTTACTGAAGAGATTCACCTTAATGCAGGTTTCTGTTGTTTGTAGAATTAGCTTATATATATATATATATATATATATATATATATATATATATATATATATATAAATAAATAAAAGGTATATTTAGGAAGCAAATATTCAGCCAAAAAAGTTTGATTAACCAATAAAGTCTGATTTTTTTTTTTTTTTTTTTGTATTTTTCAAGTAAGGTGTTGAGTATTGTGCTCAAAATTGTGGATAAACTGTTTGAAGTTCATATTTTTTTTGCTTTGTTCAAGTACTTTTGACCATAACAGTCATTTTCAAGGACCATGTGGTGTGTAGTTAGAATTTGTTGTGTGTGTGTATTTTACTAATGTCTTCACACACAAAAAAAACAAAACAAAACAAAGTAAAATCTGAATACCAAGTAAAAGTATGCAACCAGATTCACCTATGCTAAAATGTTACTGGGTGGTGGACACTAAGTTATGCTTAGTAAATAATTGTAAATCCATACCTTGCTAAAGAGAAATCCTTTGCAAGCTAGACTTGCAAGCCACCATTACAAAATTGAGTTCAATCCTTACTGGACACATCACAATTGGGGCTTGTGTTAGAGAAAAAGCTAAGCTTGCTAAATATTGCTAAATCAACACAGCAAGATCAAAGAATGTAGTGACCAAAATGCAGAGTTTTAAGACAAAGATGAAGACATTAACAGTGTGTGATTTTATTGTTAAAAAAAAAAAAAAAATTTCACTCCTTTTAAAAGGATGAGAAGAAACCAAGTAATTATATTTTTAAAATAATCACAATCAAGTTGGTTTCATTTTCAAAGCAGACAGCTTATTGTAGAAGAGAAGGAAAGAAAAAGCAGCTGAGTGAGTGAAGCATTGTAAGGAATGAAGAGGATGCTGGGATACTTACATCAAAGTCATCAAAATCCTCATTAAGTTCACACGGATTATACTACATGCAACAAAAAACAAGACATATATATAAAAAAAAACTAAAATGCTCCATAAGTAATGCAAGAAAAAAACAATGCAAATCACAAACAATACAATTTGGTGAACCTTTTTTTGTTTATATTCAGCCAAGAAACAAGACTTATCACTAAGTTTTGACAATTCCATGTCTTCATTGACAAAATAACTGGAGATTTAAAAAATAAATAAAATAATATTTGAAATTCTTAGTATTATATAAGATTTAATTAGCATACATTCTTTTTTTTTTTTAAATTCTTGATTTTAATATTTTTTTTTTTTAACAAGATTTTACCATTTCTTTTCAACACATCTTTTCCATCCTAAACTGACACTCCCTTCAGTTTTCATGTACTAGCGCGCATTTGCCAATTAAAACATATAATTTAAATTCTAAGCATAGAAATTAACAAAGGTTGTCTATAGGAGGGTGCATGACAACTCAACACCGCCAACACAACACCGCCAACTGAACACCGGGACAATTCAGGACAGAGACAACTCAGCAGCATAAAAACTTGACTTTTTTTTTTTTTTATAACCAAATAAAAGTAATTTATTAAGGATTAAAACCTTAATTAGTGAATATTTTTACTTTATTGAAAAATAAATTTCTTCACAATTTACTTTATTAAAAATAATTAAAAAAATATTCATTAATTAAGGCTTTAATCCTTAATAAATAACTTTTTATAAACAAATAAAAGTAATGTTTTTCTGGTTTTGAGTGCTCAGTGTTGAATTGTACTTTCCTGTGTATAGGAATACGTTTGTTGGTATAGAATTGTAATGTTTTGCTAAACAAGCAAATTCCCCAAGCAAAGAACAGTCAACATGCAGCAATTGCATTAATCAAGATGACACATAAGGTTTGAGTGAGAATTATTTGCAATTATTACTCTGAAAGGATTTTCAAGAACAAAGAAAATTAGCTCAAAATTAAATCTGTTGCTTTGTACAAATGTGAACAAGACTTCTCTGCTACACGATTGCAACTGACAGATCAAAATTTAGAAGAATTCTCTTCTACACCAAACAACGAATTGAACTCCAAATATAAAAACTTTGATGAAATTGAAACAAACTCAGAAGTGTCATCTTGCTCTTAAATTGACTCAATATACTATATTTTTGTAAGACCATCTTCAAGACATAGGAGATTACAGATCTCTATATGATCATCAGTTATGTGCCATGCGTGATACACGCTTAGGCAATCAGGTATCTTTCGATACATGACTGACAAGGCAGATTTCTTTCTGCAGTAGAACAGTTGCCATCCAAGACTATAGAACCTGGTCTGTCCTGCTATGTACCCATATGTTGGAGGAGAAGAGGATTCATACCTTTCCCAAGGGTATTAGCATGTAAGTGAATGTAATGGATTTGACTGGAATTCGAACATGGCTCACCGATTCCTCAATCCATTACTCCACCATGCCTCTAAATAGATTACATTATATGCTTATATATATATATATATATATATATATATATATATATATATATATAGTGTAACCCGGATATAAGAGAGTTGTCAGGACCAGAGAAGAAGTCTCTTATATCCGGGTTTGGTCTATTTTATATACATTAACATCTCTCTTATATCCGGGTTACACTGTATGTATGTATATATATATATATATATATATATATATATATATATGTGTGTGTGTATGTGTGTGCACACATTCTAATAAATTACATAAAAATGCTAAATATATATTTTATAAATGTTTTAATGGAAATACAAAATTTGTATGGAACATCTGAACTTGTCTCAGAGAAAAAATCCTAACCCAGGGAATGTAAAAAGTTTGGCTGCTCCTACAAAAGAATAATTCTCTCACCAGGAATGTGTCTTTTTTTTTTTTCTTAAAATGACAAGAAACAAAAATTTCTCCATTTATTTCTTAATTGTCAGTCATGTATCGAAAGATACATGATCATCTAATTGTAGCAATTTCACTGAAAACAAAATGTACCTAGTTGGACTAAACTATACAATTAGGCATTAAAATGTTATGTTCCTTTTTCTTTTAACACATTAATCGCCAACCAGGAAAGTTTGTGGTTGGCAGATTTTATAATAGTACTAACCAAGAGTCATCTTGTATTTTGTGGTCTTATCATCAAGGCTACAACCACAAGATTTTTCCTTTAACAAATAAATGTTACCTGACATCTAAAGCAGGTATGAAAAATCATACTGGTAACTAAAAAAAATTTTTATAGGAAAAATTTCTTGAAAATATAACCTAAACAAATCACAGGGTGGTAGTTACGGTCCCAGCTAGGGGTAAATAGTCAACCCCCAAACTGGGGTCAAAACACTATGAAAGTGTAAAAATAGATTTTTATTGCAGAAATACCAGCAATACATTTTTGACCAAAAATATTACCAGCAATACATTTGACTCAACAAAAACTATTTGCAAAAATACATTAATGAAACCTGATGTACAAACTGATTTCTTACAAAGAATACATATTCTATTCATACGAATCTATCCTAAAAATCTTGTCAATGTAAAATAACCCATTGAGGTTGATATTCCATAAAACCAAATATACCAAACCAGACTCTACAAAAAAACCCTTTTTACAAAAATATGTCAATGAAACTAGATTTCTTACAAAGAATACATTCATACAAACCTATCCTAAAAGACTTGTCAGTGTTAAATAACCCATTGAAGTTGATATGCTGTAAATCAAAATAAACCAAACCAGACTCTAAAAACCCTTTTTACAAAAATATATCAATGAAACCTGATTTACAAACTGATTTCTTACAAAGAATACATATTCTATTCATACAAATCTATTCTAAAAAAAATCTTGTCAGCATTAAATAAACCCACTGAGGCTGACATGCTGTAAAACAAAATAAACCAAACTCAACAAAAACCTTTACAAAAATACACAAATGAAACAGGATTTCTTACAAAGAATACATATTCTATTCATGTGAACCCATCTTAAAAATCTTGTCAGCATTAAATAACGCATTGAAATTGATAAGCAAATAAAACCAAACTAAACGAATCATTTGAAAAGAAACTCAAGTATCTAATATCCGAAGTAGGTGCTCAAATGGTGATTTCTAAAACAATCAACAATGCATAAATGTTTTGCTTTTAGAAATGGCACAAAGTACCATGTTTCTCACTGTACTTTGCTTTTTGCACAAACTCCACCAGCTCTGGTTGGATGTTGTTTTCTTCTTAGTTGTGCGCTTTTAAATAATGCTGTAGTCCACTATTCATTCTTGGAAGTTTTGTGTTATTTGATTGATTTGTTATTTTTTATGGCTTATCAACCTCTTACAGGTTATGTAAGGCCCAAAAATATCTTTAGAGTGTAAAAAGTTTTTGGAGACAATAATGATTAACAAGTTCTATGAATTAACCCATAGCTTGGAGAGAAGCAGTGGATCACACCTTTCTCACAGGTATGTAAGCATAACTGAATATAACAAAACAAACTGGAATTGGGACTCAGCTCTTCAATTTCCAGTTCTGAGCTGTTACAAGCTTACAACACCCAATATACTCAAGCGGTCACCCATCTATGTACTGATCAGGTTCAAGGTTGCTTAACTTCAGTGATTATATGAGATCCAGTGTTTCAACATGATATAGCCATAAGCCTTGCATTATATGGTAATTGATCACTAAGCAAACATTTCACAAATTGCACAATGACACTTTTAGTGAGAAAACAATGTGAAGACTTGAGTTGAAGCTATAAATCAACTCATAAACGAAACACTTATTGCTTAAGTTGGCATTTGAAGTCCAATTTCATAATTGACCTCTGACAGTCAACGTAATAAAAAGGATTGTACATTATTTACATTATTCGGACTATTGTCCTCATCTTTGTCACCATATTTATCACAACGTTTCGGCCATTGTACACTCCGGCCTTCTTCAGGTGGTTGGAATGTTGAACTGAACCCTTTATTTCACTCACTGGGGTAGACTGTTCTAGTTCCACGTGCCATGAGATCATAGACAGGGAACACCATTGGAAAATTCATAAACTTAAGGAATCAGCACATATGCTAGGCCACAAAAATCTCCTGAGCCGACCAAGCATAGAAATAAATACAATATGGGAACTAGTATTAAGGTGTGCCAGAGAAAAGCAATGATAACAACAAAAAGTTGCAATATGAGCTCTGGTAAAAACGTGCAATGATAACAGCAAAAATTGCAATATGAGCACTGGTAAAAATGGCACATTGGATAAAGGCATTGGTTAGATCCAGTGACAGGACCCAAAGAATGGAGAACTTTCAGAGGGAAAATTAACAGGAGATAACTGACATCCATCAAAACATGGCATGTGGAACTAGAACATATAGAAATAAAGGGCTCAGTTCGACATTCCAACCACCTGAAGAAGGCCGAAACGTGATAAATATGGCAAAAAGATGAGGACAATAGTCCGAATAATGTAAATAATGTACATAATACTTCATCTCAGAAATATAGACAGACTCAAAAGGATTGTCTTGTCTGCATTTACTTTATTTGAAAATCAAATTACAACATGAAACTCCAACACTTTGACCCAAAACAACAACTGTCCGCACATTGAGAGCACTTTTTCCCTGACTAAGAAAAAACTGGTGTTATATAGCTCTCTGACTCAGACCTACAATGACTATTGTCTAATACCTGTCGAGAATTGTCCATATATAAATTTTGTCAGCACCACCTACTCTAAGTAGAATGCCTTCTCTCAACAACCAATTGTGGAAGGGGACATAACTCCTGATGCTTACTGCACCACACAAATAACTCTCGGTTTCTTGTCGGGTTGACCCAATTCTCAGTTACAGATGTGTTCCAAATATAAATTTGTTTCTTGTATAAAACAGTTTCAATCCAAGCATAATAACAAATTAATGTAAGATTTATTTTGACACTCAATTTTGATGACAATGTCTAAATGACACCAAGAGAGACATAGCCTGTCTCTCTATCTTGGTGTCATTTCATCATTTGGGAGTAATAGGTTACAGGTGTGTTGAATTGAAGAAATTGAATCAATGCTCATCAAAGACCAATTCTGCCAGACAATTTCCTTTTATCATAAACATAGAATGAAACTTTTATAAAATTAGTGTTTATTTTAATTGTCAATAAGTTTTTATATACTATAGGACCATTTTTATATACTATAGGACCATTTGATGACAGAGGGGTTGTAACTGCCCCACTAAGAAATATATTTGACTGAAGAGTAAAAATGAAATGAATTAGACAAAAACATTTCAGGTATCAATGAAGGAAACATTTTTCTTTTTTTAAATTAATTTGATCTTTCAGAATATGACAATAGCCAGTTCCGCTCAATGGCACAATTTTTCCACGACCAGATTTTGATGAAGTGAAGGAAGTTTGCTTACAGTTTTTGATCCAAAGTCAACAAACTGATATCTGGGACAGATTCGGATGCTGGCTGATCACTGGTAGAAGATCGTCGAGAATGACGGACTTTATTTTGAAGAATAAATGTTGGTGTTGCTCCATAAAATTTTGTTGTTTTCTTTCCGCTTTCTAAGTAAGTCAGGACTTTCTGGCTAACATGATAATTTGCTTAGCTTTTTGGAAGACATCTTTCTCTATCACAACGCAACTTCGGATTTCAGGGTCACACATAGCTAAGGAAAAAATGCTTTTTAAATTGTTCCCTTATTCGTTTGATGGCTTTGAGGACATTTTTCATTTTTTCAAAATAAAATTAACATTAAAGACTTATGCTAATGTCTTTATCATTATTATTATCATCATCATTATTATTATTTGTGTATGTTTTCTGCTATAGAGCCAGGTCCAAACTATGGTCCTTAGGCCCTATAGGAGAACTGTCATTTAATTGATAGCACTTTTCTTAGCATATAGAATGTTCCTAGTAGGGCAATCTTCTGGGCAAATTTTACGTTGATATTACCTGGGACACCGTTAGTAAAACTGTCCATTCCTTTTCTCACAAGGCCCAGAACTCCGATTACTATTGATACAGTCTCGGTCTTCATTCCCCACATCCTGTTAATCTTGATTTTCAGATCTTTGTATTTAGACAATTTCTTGATAATTTTTATGGAGATGTTTCGTTACCTCGTCACTACGTTCTTATGTCTGTAGGTATAGTCATTTTTTGCCAGTTCCAGACATCCTGAGATAATATGGTCAGCAGTTTCATCATATTTTCTGCAGATCCTGCATTTCAGGTTAGTTCCATCCTTGATGATTATAATAATAATAATAATGTTGCTCGAAATATTTTGCAAAGCTCTTTTAGTTTAACAATAAGTGTTGCTGTTGGGAAAACTCTGGATAAGTAAAACACCAATTGGCAGCTCCAAGTATGGTGAGTTCTGACAATATTCTATAGCATGTGCCAGCACTATTTAAGATTGACTGGTTCGCTTCTAAAGATAAATAGGAAAAATTTTTTTAAACAATTTTTCCAGATTTGCATTCAGTAAAACTTCAAGTTTCATTTGTCAAAATCAAAAAATATTGATTTTTTTCTGATGACTTTAAAAGTGAAGAGGAGAGGCATAATATAAATAGTGTCAAATTAATCTCTGATTTCATAAAAAGAGTTATCTGTACTTTGCTTTTATTTACAAAAATCAAGTTTGAAACTGCTTATGACAATAACTGCATACTATTATGGATTGGAAAAAAAAATAAAAAATAAAAAAGGACAATATCAGTGATACATGTCATAGGTTGGAAATGTCTACTGAATGCCAATCTATAAAAATTATGTTTCCCATTCAGTCAGTTATGTGTGATACATGCTTAAGCGATCATGTAACTTTTGATACATGACTGATGAAGCAGATTTTTTTCCCGCAATAGGTTGCTATTTCTTTCTGCGGTAGACCAGTTGCCATCCACGGCTATAGAACTTAGTCTGTCCTGCTATTTACCCATAGGTTGGGGGAGAAGACGACGATTCATACCTTTCCCAAGGGTATTGGCATGTAAATGAATGTAATCGGTTTAACTGGAATTTGAACTCAGCTCTCCGATTCCTCAATCTGAGCTGCTATCCATTACTCCACCGTCCCCCACTAATTTTCCTATTTTTTTTTTTAAGAACAGACTAAGTACTGCTCATGTGGCTCAGAGAACAAACAATTCCATTGAGTGTCTAAGAAAACAAACAATTCTACCGTATGTACCATATTTCATGTTATCTAAGATACACATTTGTTAACTATGAGATGTTCAAGACATGAAGACAAAAATTCCTCTGTAAACCCAGCTCACATGAAATTTCATTGATCCCTCTGCTTTGCAAGCTATAGTTTAGCAACTCTTAATATAAGGAACATAAAAAACCCATCAAAACCAAATTTACTACAAAAAAATCTGTGAATTCTATATAAAAGGATAAATTTTGGCTGGCACTTAAAGTAAACATGCTTTAATGCTAACATTAGAATTTTATGCAAAGTCATTACTATCCATACATCCAAAGAATTTGATCAGAGATCAAATTTGACATATTTTTGTTGCAATTTCATACTTTTACTTCTACTAAAACTTGTGAAGTATTTAAATGAACTTATTGTTTAAAATGTATTTGGTGGGGTGCTTTGTTCTTTGCAGTAATTCTGTTAATATATATTAATGCAGTTGTTTTAAAATTTTGAAAAAGAAATATTTTGGAGAAATACCAGCTTTGGTTTTTTTAGACAGTAATCAACTACAAATAAAAAAGTTCACCTTTAAAAATCATTTCCATTTTAAATGGATTACATTTATTGGATCTCTAATATAAATGGTACAGAAAACAAAAAAAAAAAAAAAAACTGATCCATTGGAAGACCTCATAACCAGTGGTGAGATAAAGTTGAGCCAACAATCTTTCCACAGCCATCTTATAAGCTACCAGAGGCAGATAGAGGAAAAAATGGGTTGACAATGTCATTTAGTGAATGAAGATCTTACATAGAGACTTAGACATTGGAAGGCAGCTGTACAGAAAAACAACAACCACACCCAGACATGTAACTGATGGTGATGAATATATGTTACAAGTCTGCAGACAACACGTTATGCTATAACTACACAATGGATGACAATTTTCTCTGTCAGAAGATTTTTATTATCAGGTTTAATATTTGACATTCATTCTCAAACAATGGGGGCCCAACAAGGCTTGGGCTGTGAGTCAATTAGTCGAAGACCAAGCTGATGCATGTGGGACATGGCCCTGATCCACTGCCCAACATTATTGGCAGCAATTCCGTAGAGTTCACCATGTCTTTCATATACTTGTGCTCAAAAGTTTCTGACACCAGCAACCGCTTCATGGAGATCAACAGATGTGGACTGGCTGCAGATGTCATGATAGACCTTTGGAGGCTATGGTGGCTTTGGAACATCTTCCAACATACCAAGCTACAAGTTTACAATGATACCATCCTCTATAGGGCACTGAGATGTTGCCTCTCAGCAAGATCCTTTACTCCTTCTTCCATGAGTCTTGTGCACTCAGGACCAGTTGAATGAGGACCTCCGTGAGACAACCGGCCAGCCAAACATCTTTTGCACCATTGCTCAGTACAGTGTTTGCTGACTCAGTCACGTACTGTGATGACTTTCCTATAAG